AAGGGAGGCAATCAGATCTGGTCATTCCAACTTCCCTTATCTCATGCTTTTGTTCAGGGATTAGCAAACTACAGCTGGTGGTTAAATAGTGAGACCACCTGGCTCCCAGTGCTGAAAATGTTTACTCTCTGGAGCTTTCCAGAAAGTTTGCTAAGTCTCACTGTAAATCATGGAGTTATTTGTGAAACAGCTGTGACTCCACTATTGGTGAGCTTGGAGTCCTGAAGGGTTTTGTCTTCTTTACATCAGCCTCTCTGACCACAGGCAGTTATGCATGAAGAAAAAAAGGCATGATATTGTACCAGTTACAAAGAGCATTAACTCTGGACCCAAACAGCCCAGGATGAAGCCCAGGCTCTGTTCCTCACTGTGACCTTAAACAGCTAACTTCTTGATCTAAGTGTGGTTTTCATCTGTAAAAGGTGGGCAGTTATGGTACCTTTTTCACAGAGTCATTTGGAAGGTTAAGTATATTCATGTTGGCAAGAAGTTCAGCACAATGCCTGTTGGTATTATCATCTAATATTTTGATTTTTTTTATAAACAGGGTGATGAACAATTAAATGTGTTTGGAGAAGACACCATGGGAGGTGAGTTTTCTTTACTGATCAGACCAAAGTTGTCATTTTATTAGCTCTGAGCATATCTTTTTTATTAAACACCACCAAGAGATAACCTACCAAGAGCATGTACTTTTATCCCTCAGCCAGGGAACACGATTATGATTGGAATTCTGCATTTCTACCCTCTTGGTCCATGTAGAGAACCAAAGTGATACCTTACTCAGTGATGTATTTCCTGTCTTCCCAGAGGACATGAGCCCTGAGATGGTCAGTGAAGAGAGGATGCTCAAAGAGTTCATGCCCTTTGTAACTGGTAAAAATGTTTGAAAAACACAACACCCAATCCTCTTTGGAAGATTCACATATACAAGAGCACAGCAAGGCTCCTACATGTCCTGCAGGAAAGAGAACTGGCTGACTTTAATTCAACATTCTTCAAATTTTATTAGAACACTTAAGTCCTTTTCCTGAATAATGGTTGCTACTCTGTAGTGTACCATTGGGATACAACCTAAGAATCACCCAAATTATACTAGTTTATAATTTTGTCATGTTAAAAGTCTTGCCAAAACTAAAAAAAAAAAAATTAGCTCCACATGGGACTGAAAATAGAAAATTACATAAATTTGACTTTGTTCAAAGAAGATGAGGTTTATGATTGCTCTAGGAAAATTACCTTCTAACATTTCTACTCGGTAAAAAATGTTGTTATAATTATGGTCCATGGAAATATATTTACATTGACTGTGAGCACATACAAGTAAGTGAATTGGCTTTCTAAACAACCCCAGCTCTAATCCTGCTGATCCATGAGCATGAGGTGGTAGATACAGTGTCATTTGATGATAACAGCAGGAGCAGTATGTGAAGATTGCAGTCATCCAGTGACATCACGGTGATTCATGGGGGAAAAGCACTTAAACATGAGCCAAGTGCAAATAATCAACTCAGTCCCAACTGGAGAGGGATTGATTGATTACTGAATGAAGTTTCCTTTTTTCCTGGTTACAGAATTAACACACATTCATGTGGAAATGTTTTTAAGGGAGAAAACCAGAGCCATCTAAAACCTTATGACCTCTAAATAATCACAGTTAGCATTCTGGTTTATTTTTATTCCAGTGTATTGTCTATATACCTATTTTTACATAGGTGAGAATACATGTGTATATACAAACATTATCTCTAATATTTTGTGCTTATCATAACATAAGCATGTTCCCATGTCATTAAAAACTTCATATAAACTTAATTTGTAATGATCACATTATCTGAATGTATCATTATTCTTTTTTAAAACTGGACTAATATAGAACCATACTACTACTAATAACAGCAACCACTTTCCTACATCATAAATAGATTAAAAGTTGCTCAACTCCATAAAAGTAAACTAAAAAGTAAACTGAAAGTGTGAAGAACTTGAGATGACTATTTGGCCCAACATGTTAAGAGCATTAATCTGTCTGCCTCAGTGAAAGTGAAAGTGAACATCACTCAGTCATGTCCAACTCTTTGCGACCCCATGGACTATACAGTCCATGGAATTCTCCAGTCCAGAATACTGGAGTGGGTAGCCATTCCCTTTTCCAGGGGATCTTCCCAACTCAGGGATCGAACCCAGGTCTCCCACATTGCCATTTTTTAAATCTTTTTTTTTTTAATTTATTTATTTTAGTTGGAGGCTAATTACTTTACAAAATTGTAGTGGTTTTTGCCATACATTGATATGAATCAGCCATGGGTTTACATGTGTTCCCCATCCTGAACCCCCCTCCCACCTCCCTCCCCATCCCTCTGGGTCTTCCCAGTGCACCAGCCCCGAGCACTTGTCTCATGCATCCAACCTGGGCTGGCGATCTGTTTCACATATGATAATATACATGTTTCAATGCTATTCTCTCAGATCATCCCACCCTCACCTTCTGCCACAGAGTCCAAAAGACTCTTCTATACATCTGTGTCTCTTTTGCTGTCTAGCATATAGGGTTATCGTTACCATCTTTCTAAATTCCATATATATGTGTTAGTATACTGTATTGGTCTTTATCTTTCTGGCTTACTTCACTCTGTATAATGGGCTCCAGTTTCATCCATCTCATTAGAACTGATTCAAATGTATTCTTTTTAATGGCTGAGTAATATTCCATGGTGTATATGTACCATAGCTTTCTTATTCATTCATCTGCTGATGGGCATCTAGGTTGCTTCCATGTCCTGGCTATTATAAACAGTGCTGCGATGAACATTGGGGTGCACGTGTCTCTTTCAGATCTGGTTTCCTTGGTGTGTATGCCCAGAAGTGGGATTGCTGGGTCATATGGCAGTTCTATTTCCAGTTTTTTAAGGAATCTCCACACTGTTCTCCATAGTGGCTGTACTAGTTTGCATTCCCACCAACAGTGTAAGAGGGTTCCCTTTTCTCCACACCCTCTCCAACATTTATTGTTTATAGACTTTTTGATAGCAGCCATTCTGACCTGCGTAAGATAGTATCTCACATGGTTTGATTTGCATTTCTCTGATAATGAGTGATGTTGAGCATCTTTTCATCTATTTGTTAGCCATCTGTATGTCTTCTTTGGAGAAATGTCTGTTTAGTTCTTCGGCCCATTTTTTTATTGGGTTGTTTATTTTTCTGGAATTGAGCTGCATGAGCTGTTTGTATACCTTTGAGATTAATTCTTTGTCAGTTGTTTCATTTACTATTATTTTCTCCCATTCTGAAGGCTGTCTTTTCACCTTGCTTATAGTTTCCTTCATTGTGCAAAAGCACTTTTAACCTGAAATTCACTGCAAGTGGGTAAGGCTTAGGAACAACAAACCCCACCTCCCATTCCCTTTTCTTCCCCTTCCTCCCAGCTCATTCCTGCCTCTTTATTGCTTAAGCAGAGGCAGAAAGGGAGAGGTCATGATCAGGACTATCTTGCATTTTTCCCATTGGAAAAAGAAAGAAAACCACAAGTGGGTTAGACTGCAACTCTTGGAATTTGATCTTTTCCTTAGGGACAAGCATTTAGAAATACTCAAATTTAGTGTTTAAATTTATTTACCTTATTCTGTAATTTTACATTTCAATAAAATGCAAACTCTACTTCAATTTTTAACCTCCAGGAAGACACTCCTTTTAAACAAGACCTTCCTTTTCCCTAAGAACACAATCATTTGTAAATAGGACACAGCATGGCTTTAATTTTTAAATATTTAATTTAATAAAAGTATTTCTTCCAACCCTCCTTGTTTAACACTGATCTACTCTCCATAGTACTTTATAAAAGGAAATAATGAAGTGCAGAAATTATAATAAATACAGTGTCATGGTTCCATTTTTCTAGTCCGTGTTCCTTTAGTGTTAGCTTCTTTATTTTTTTAATTGCTTTTAACTGCTTTATCTAACTGGAGGATAATTGCTCTACAATGTTGTGCTGGTTTCTGCCATGCAACAAGGCGAATCAGCCACAACGATACACACATCCCCCTCCCTCGTGAGCCCCCCTTCCACCCCCACCGCGTCCCACCCCTCTAGGTTGTCGCAGGGCATCAGGATGGGTGTTCTGTGTTACAACAATTCCCCCTTGGCTTTCTATTTTACGTATGGTAATGTCTGTTTCAGTGCTACTCTCTCAGTTCATTGAACCTAGAGTAGTCTGTTATACAGAGTGAAGTAAGTCAGAAAGAGAAAAACAAATATCATATATTCACCCATATATATGGAATCTAGAAAAACGGTACTGATGAACCTCTCTGCAAGGGCAGGAATAGAGAGGCAGACATAGAGAACAGACTTGTGGGCACAACAGGGGAAGGAGAATGGGACAAATTAAGAGAGTAGCTTCTTTAACAACTAATTCAACAGACATTTATTGAGAATCCACGTGCCAGGCACCATGAGCAAGAACAGAATACAGGAAGGTCAGGCATCGGCATACTTACAAGCTAGTGAGAGTGAAGCAAGAGCAAGAACAGAACAGAGAGTATACAGGGAAAATGCCCTCCGATGCCACTGTGATAGGGTAACTTGTTCAAGATGCTGTGAACCTGAGGAGGCAGTTCCTAAGTCCACCCAGGATGGACTTGGATGGTTGGAGGACCCAAAAGTCTCCAAAGAGGCAGTTATTCTTTGACTGGACTTGGAGGATGAATAGGCATTTTCCAGGTGGACAAGCTGAGTGGTGAACAATGAAGGGAGTAAACTGCTTTACAAAGACTTGGAGGTCCTGGGAATTCCTGGTGGTCCAGTGGTTAAGACTTGGTGCTTTCACTGCCCTGACCTGGGTTCTATTCCTGGTTGGGAAACTAAGATCCCACAAGCCTCATGGCCGTGGCCAAAAAAATATGGAAAAAAATAAAAAACCATGAAGACTTGGAGATCTGAATGAACCTGATGGGTTTGGCACATTACCCAGAATTTGAGAAGTGTCAGATCCCCGGAGGGTGGGGTCTCTGGTGAGAAGAGCTGGGGATGAGACCAGGCTACCTCTGGATGGTAGGTTCCAAATCCTGGGGACCATTCATAAAGTCACCACAGTGCCTTCAAGAGTGGCTTATAGTGCAGAGCTCCATTTTCAGTCATACAGGAACACTTATTCAACCAATATCACATACTTACGAACTGGAATTTTTGCCGGTAGATTGAAGGAGCATTTGTCCAAGGCATGGGATTCTATACCATAGAAGAGCTGAAATACTCCCCAGAAGGCGTGCTTTACTCTCGGAGTCCAGATGACTACAAAATCCCCACAGTCACAGAAATACCCGAAGAGTTCAATGTCACTTTGGTGCGTTCCCAAAATCCCATCGCCATCTACTCGTCCAAGGTAAGAACTCGAGTTCATTAGGGCTGCTATAACAAAACACTACAGACTAGGTTGCTTAAACAATGGAGAGACATTTTCTCACAGTTCCTGATGTGGGGGTCCAAGTTGAAGATGTGATTTATTTTGAAGCCTCTCTTTGACTGGCAGATGTACACCTTCTCCCCATGCCTTTATATGATCATGTGTTTATCATATACTTAATGTGTCTCTGTGTCCTAACATTTTTTTTCTTAAAAGGACACCAGTCATACTGGATTGGGGTCTACCCTAAAAACCTCATTCCTTAATTATCTTAAACCTGATTATCTTAAATTTAATTATCTTAAACTTAATTATCTCTCTAAAGACCTCATTTCCAAATATGGTCCCAGTCTGAGGTAGTTAGGGTTAAGACTTCAGCATCTGAATTTGAGGAGGCACAGTTCATCCCATAACAACCTACTCTGTCAATAATAATACAGGGACTTCCCTGGTGGTCCAGTGGCTAAGATTCTGTGCTCCCAATATAGGGGGTCAGGGTTTGACCCCTGGTCAGGGAACCAGATCCCCCAGGCACCAACTGGGAGGATTCACATGCTACAACTAAAGATCCTGTGTACCACGGCTAAGGTCCAGCACAGCCAAATAAATAAAATTAATGTTTTTAGAAAAAGAAATATAAGCAGTCCCGTGAATTCACTTAACCCTTGCAATTGCAAATCCCAAAAGAAGAAGGAAAAACAAACATTCAGTGATTTCAGAAGCCCAAGTAGAGTCTTCACTCTTGGGTGGTTGTCCAGTTGCTCTCAGGAGAGATTATGAAATGAGTTTGAATCAGACAAGAAGGGCTAAGGAGTAAGCAGATATCTTGGGTCATTAGGCTAAGTGCCACCATGAGATTAAACTGAAGTAGACATATTTCACTAGCCCTGGACTTTGTTTTCTGCAACCCTCCCATGCCCTCCAGAGTCAAGTCTTTCTTATCTACACTGCCTCTCCCCACACTCTCCCCAAGTCAGAATAAACTTTCACACAAGCTTCTCACTGACAGTTTACTCTGAGGTGTTAATGCCACAAATACAGGAGGTGCTGACCCTAGGCATAGAGCCAATGCGCTCTCACTGGCTCATAAAGACTTAAGGCAAGGTCCTCAAACATGTGTGGAAAACACACAATTTCTCCAACTGAAGTTCTGTTCTAGGCCCACATCTGGCCAGACAGATGGCAACTTTAACCTCAGGCTTTCCCTCTCTTTATTGGGAGTAGATCAGATTGGGAGGAAGGTGAGACTTCCTGTCCAAATGGTTTCTACCTCCACTTCACCAGACCTTGACCAGGGACATCGCTAAAGACCATCCTGACACAGGGCACAGCCCTGGCCCTCAGGACCTAGCCACCTCTCTGCCCGGTCTACTCCCTGCTCTCCCCACCTCCCCTCTCCTCAGAGGAAAACCCTCCTCTGCCAGTTTCTCCTCTCCCCTTCTCCCCCACATTTGCTTCAGAGAGAACACCACAGACTGGGATAGCCTTTATCTGCTTGGGCCCTTGGACCCATCTCTCCACTAAGTCCCCGGACACAGACCAAGGACCGGAACACATTGAAGAAAGAAAGAAGAAAAATTAGTAAAAAGAAGCATTGCTGAATTATTCAGCATGTAATGCCACCACATGGTTCATTCAAAAGCACCCAACACACAGTCAAGGAAGCTAACACATACAAAGACTTCCACAGTCCACCCTCCAGTCCACCCTCCAGGGGCAACCATCTCACTGTCTTTCAAGCTCAGCTACAAAGATTATTGTTGTTTTGTTGTGGTCTTGAGTTCAGTGAAAATAGTCTGGAGCTGCAGTTGGAGTATCCTAGAGGGCCCTACGGGCTTCTGTCTCCGGAACTTTACTTGGGTGGGGAGAGGTGCAGTGGGAGGGCAGGGAGAGACAGGAGATTTTAGCTGCCCACTGTCCTGATGCCCCTGGGACATTTCCATGAGCCACTCTGAGGAGGACCCCCCCATACACAAATCAGCAGGTTGGGGAGTGATGGGGGAGTGGGGAGGGTGGGAAGCAGAGGGGGTAGGGTGAGAATTCGATTCTGGTAATTCTGATGCAATCCATTCAGAGGGTTGTAAAGCCAGGAGGAGTGAGTATGTGTGTGTGTGCGTGTGTGTGTGTGTACACAAATTAGTCCTAAAAGAACCATGCAATTCTGACAGCCTTTTACCCTCCGTCTCAGGGGTTAGGTGAGGCTGGAATGTTCCTGGGATCCTCCGTGTTGTTCGCCATATATGACGCCGTGGCTGCTGCCCGAAGAGAGAGGGGGCTGACCAAGACTTTCACCCTGAGTAGCCCAGCAACCCCTGAGTTGATTAGAATGACTTGTGTGGACCAGTTCACTGACATGGTAAGGATGGTGAGGAGAGCTCCCTATTAGAATCACCCCTTTTGTGAACTTTCAGATTCTTGGTATGGATCCGACAGCCATGAAAAAAAATCAGTGCAAGTTTATCTTTTCCATTGAAAATTCTCATTCTGGCTTCACTTACTACTTCTTATATGCTTCAAACTGCAAATACAGCTGCCAAGTGAGCGACCCTCTTCAAATGATGGTTTAAAGTTTCAGACCCCAAATAAAAACACACAACTGACCCAGTGCTCATATCAAATGGACATGCTAGGTTACTTTAAACATTTTGTAAGATGAAATTGACATGCTATTTTCATTGCCTCAGTAACTAAATTAGATTAAATAGACATAAGATCTGGTCAATTATTCTGAAAATATTTTTTAAGCAAACTAATAAAAATAATTTAAATGAAACTATCAAGTCACGGGGCTTCCCGGGTGGCGCTAGTGGTGAAGAACCTGCTTGCCAATGCAAGAGACATGAGTTCAATTCCTGGGTGGGGAAGATTCCCTGGAGGAGGGCGTGGCAACCCACTCCAGTATTCTTGCCTGGAGAATCCCATGGACAGAGGATACTAGCGGGTTACAGTCCATAGGGTCGCAAAGAGTCAGACACAACTAAAGTGACTTAGCATGCACGCACGCACATCAAGTCACTGGGCACACTTTGATTTGCCCTGTAATCACACACTAATAGATCATAGGTCCATTTTCCAGCTGCTAAAAATTCATCTAGAACTATCATCAGAGGCTGTTTCTATACTGAACTGCTTACTGCAGCCCTAAACGAGTCTCTGGTGTAAAATTAGATTGCCTCAAGAGGGAGGAGACACTTGCCTACTTATAGCTGATTCATGTTGTTATACAACAGAAACCAACACAACATCGTAAGGCAAATTATCCTCCAATTAAAAACTTTTTAAGAATTAGGTTGTACTTTATGCCTTTGAAATTACAGGGCTTCTGAATAAGATGCATCTTATCCCAAACATAAGAAGTATATGAGAATAAGGAGATTCAAAACTCACAGATTGAAAGAAATATGAAAATTATCTAATTTTGATAAGAATAACATGGATATTGACTTTCCTTTTTATAAAAAAAATTGTCTTATGAATTACAACTTATTTCATATAACAATATTTTATTAATAATTTTTTCTTTTGATCTTCTTTAGATTCCCAGAGATGATCCATCAACATTTACACCTTGGTCCATCCATGTGTCTTAATCCTCAGAAAACATGTTTTCCTCAAAAAATGCAAGAATACATGTTTGACCTTAAAATTTTCAAACCCAAGCAAAATGTAGGTTGGCCCCCAATTATCAAGGGTAATTTTAGCATCTTTTCATTGTTCTCTGTGGCCACTGTATGATATGTTTTAGGATTCACATTTTCACCAAAATGTATAAAGGAAGTTTAGAATCAAAACTCCTTCTTTTTATTTGTATTATCATGAATATCTACAGCATCAGAATTTTCAACAGTGGTGGAGTTTTCATTACTCAACAACTCAATAGAGACTGCTCATACTTTGTTCTACACAAGTCTGCTCACCCCCAAAATCATTCACCCCCAAAACCCTTGGGATTCCCCAGAGCCAATGGTGTGCTGGTAGTAGCCAGTTCCCCTCGAAAAATCAATGATTTGTTTCGTTTGCCAATTTCCACGTTGTAAATACCCCATGTCGGCCAACTCCAAACCACAGACAAGAGGTCTCTGAAGGCAGAGTTGGAAGAGATGCTTGAAACCTGCTCATGATCTCCAACTTGAAAGCCCACCGCAATCCTTGGTTCCTGCCATTCCCCCCATGCAGCCCATTTAGATGGGGCTTAGAGAGGTAAACTATCCAGAGCCTCCCGCTGGTGTTCATCTGCCATGAGCCATGCGCATGGTACCTTGTCTTCCTTACCTGGGAAACAACACAGAGTAAAACGGCTCTCTCAGATCACCCTGGTGTCCCTTCTTTTGGCTTAGGGTCTAAACGGTGAAATCAGAGCCCCCTTCCTTTTGCCATCAAAGGGCCACAAAATCCTCAGGGTTCTCTTTCAGTTATTTCTTAGCTGTTTTACATTGCATTTTCCTGAGGAAATGTAGTCTTATGCCAGAGAAGATGTTCAGTCTCCTGTGAAGTTTGAAAACACGAATAAACTAAATCATTTGTTGGCATCTGTGGGCTAGGTCGGAGAAGGCAATGGCACCCCACTCCAGTACTCTTGCCTGGAAAATCCCATGGACGGAGGAGCCTGGTGGGCTGCAGTCCATGGGGTCGCTATGAGTCGGACACGACTGAGAGACTTCACTTTCACTTTTCACTTTCACACATTGGAGAAGGAAAGAAATGGCAACCCACTCTAGTGTTCTTACCTTGAGAATCCCAGGGACGGGGGAGCCTGGTGGGCTGCCATCTATGGGGTCACACAGAGTCAGACACAACTGAAGTGACTTAGCAAGTGCAAGTGGGCTAGGTATTAAAGCTTTGCGTTTCTGTAGAGAATGGACATGGAGGGAAGGAGAGAGTGGGATGAACTGAGAGGGTAGCATTGACATATACACAACACCATGAGTAAAATAGCCAGCTAGTGGGGAAGCTGCTGTCTGGCACAGGGAGCTCAACTCAGGGCTCTGTGCCGACCTAGAGGGACGGGGTGGGGTGGAGGGAGGAGGCCCAGGAGGGACAGGATGTGTGTGTAATTACAGCCGATTCACCTCGCCGTACGACAGAAACCAACACAACACTCTAAAGCAACTCTATTCCAATTAAAAAAGAAAAAGCTCTGCGTTTATTAATAGTAATTTTGTGGTGGAAGAATAAGCTTGTAGCAATTGTTTGTATGTGTGTAAAACTAGACTGGAAGAAGAGAAGGTTGGTGAATAGAAGGAAAGGCTTACCAGTCAGCCTCTTATTCTGTGAGGAGTGAGGGTGTGTGTGTGTGTGTGTGTGTACATATGTTTCTAAGTGTCTTTTAATTCACCCAGTAATCTAAATTACCTAGAACCCAGCCCACAAAAATTCATTGTTCCAGAATGAACAGTAAAAATCAGGTAGCTGATATATTTTTCTAGCAGTAAAATAGGAAGACACATTCATCACACACATAATTTTAAGAGTATTATTACCTCCTAGACTGTGTGAACAAGACTTCTGATAACAGAAACTGGATTTTTACGAAATAAATCTGATCACTTCAGTAGTATTTAGTTAAGTAGAAAAATTGGAGTTGGGGAGGAAGAATTTATAAAAATAGTACAGTTTAAAGCATAGCAAGTTTCAAATATGAAGTTGCTATTTTAATGCATTTAATATTTGACAATTTATGTTATCTTATAAACAATCTATCTTACTAATGGAGACAAACATCTGTGATTGTGTGTCTAATTTTAGATGTCATTACAGTGATAGTTGTTCGAGAAGTGTAAAATACAATCTTTTCAGCCAGAGGACTCAGTAAACAGTTAAGCACAGTTTGAGTGATAGAGCACATGATCATCATTANAAACATCTGTGATTGTGTGTCTAATTTTAGATGTCATTACAGTGATAGTTGTTCGAGAAGTGTAAAATACAATCTTTTCAGCCAGAGGACTCAGTAAACAGTCAAGCACAGTTTGAGTGATAGAGCACATGATCATCATTAATTCTGGGCAAAACTGCTAGTGCCTGTCACTCATAGAGACTTGCCTTTACTGTTGCTTAACCGCAAGCTCAATAAAAGTTTGTCAGAAGAGAAATAATACTACGCGGCCGGTACTACGCTTGCTGCCTTCTTCCTTTCAACCTAAAGGACACACAGGGCCCAACTGTCTTGCTTCTCCTGGGCCGAAAGTTTATGATAGAACAGTTTTGTGCAACCTTACAACCTACTAGGGAAATGGAGTTGAGTGAATAGTGACTGGGAGGGATTGGATTTCAGTTCAGTATCTTGACCCTGCTGCACCGGGCGTGATCTTGGCTTTTAGCACTGGAGGAGGTAAAAAAGAGGCAGAGGTCAAATGGGACAAGAATGCTTAGATATCTATTTTGCTTCTCTCAAGGGAAAACCTTTAACTCCTCCTCACTTGATACTTTCTATGGTGTAAATTGGCCATACTCTTAACGCTGTCAGAGCCGGGGGTATCACAAGTTGACTTTTCTGAAAGAAAGTGCTGAGACAGAGTTTAGGGAGCACGATGTTTCTTCGGGCTCAACACTTTGGCCAACTGATGCGAAGAGCTGGCTCATTAGAAAAGATCCTGATGCTGGGAAAGGGTGAAGGCTGGAGGAGAAGGGGACGACAGAGGATGAGGAGGTTGGATGGCATCACCGACTGGATGGACATGAGTTTGAGTAAACTCCAGGAGTTGGTGAAGGACAGGGAGGCCTGACGTGCTGCAGTCCGTGGGGTCACAAAGAGTTAGACACGACTGAGCGACTGAACAAAAAACCTGAGGAGGAAAGGCTGAGGAAGCAGAATTGGGCAGAGGGAGAAGTCAGACTGATACAGGGCCCTCTAAGCATCAGCACCCTAGCAGGGAGCCCTGGATCGAGCATTGACCCATGGAGCAGCCCTGCTCAGGCTGAAATGGACAGGCCTGTGTATCCCCAAGTGACTGGTTCACTGACTACAGGCCTGCCCTGGAAAAGCTTACCCTTGAACAAGGAAACTCCTCTGCTCTGAGGGAGACTCTGAGGGCACTGACAGCTGGACCCTACACTGCAACAACACTCCCTACAGCCGGGTGGCAGGTCCTTCCAGGAAGGGAACTGAGAAGCTCCCCTCCAGTCTGCCACACACATCTCCCAAAGTGACCCTCCCTGATTCGTGAGTTTATTAACATGCAAATTCTACATAGGTGTAAGCTGCAATTCACACTTAGTTATACATTGGATTAATTGCCTTTATAAAAAAGAGTAATTCTGATGCTTTTGAACTGTGGTGTTGGTGAGGACTCTTAAGAGTCCCTTGGACTACAAGGANGGATTGAAGGCAGGAGGAGAAGGGGATGACAGAGGATGAGATGGTTGGATGGCAGTACCAACTCGATGGACATGTGTTTGAGCAAGCTCAAACTTCCCTGGTGACAGACAAGGAAGCCTGGCATGCTGTAGTCCTGGGGGTTGCAAAGAGTCTGACAGGACTGAGGGACTGAACTGAGAGCAAAAGGAATTTTTAACGTGTGTGTGTTAGTCACTCAGTCATGTCTGACTCTTTGCAACCTTGTGGACTGTAGCCCACCAGGCTCCTCTGTCCATGGGATTCTCCAGGCAAGAATACTGGAGTGAGTTGCCATTTCCTTCTCCAGGGGATCTTCCCGACCCAGGGATTGAACCCGGGTCTCCTGCGTTGCAGGCGAATTCTTCACCGCTGAGCCACAGGGAAGCCCTTTCAAAACTCTAACCCAAATTTTATTATCTGGAAATTGATACTAGGTCAAGAAAATTAATTTGCTTTGAATAAGTAAATGACTGGGTAGAAGTGTAAGAAGGTCGACTTCCCACAGAGCTCTAAAACCCTGAGCCCTGGTTGAGAGATGTAACAGCAGAAGAAGCATTATGTTAATAAGAAAACACAAATGTTGTTGTTAACATTTGCCTGGTATGTCTTTCACCCATCTATATTCAACCCTTTCCTTTTTCACTTTAAACGTGTTTCTGAGTACACACACATATAAATACATACATGTATATACACGTATGCGTGCTAAGTCACTTCAGTCATGTCTGACTCTTTGCAACTTCATAGATTGTTTGTAGCCTGCCAGGCTCCTCTGTCCATAGGGATTCTCCAGGCAAGAATACTGGAGTGGGTTGCCATTCCCTTCTCCAGGGGATCTGCCCAGCCCAGGGATCAAAACTGTATCTCTTATGAATCCTGCATTGGCAGGCAGGCTCTTTACTACTAGTGCCACTTCGGAAGCCCTGTATACCTATATATATCTTAGTGTATATATATGTATACATATATATGTAGTATGTACATATAAATAGTATATACTAGGTTTGGGGTAATTTTTCTCATCAAATTTCTATCACTTTTAAGTGGCAATCCATTCCATTTGTGCCTTATAATTGTTAGAAGAATTCGATTTTTCTACTTATTTACACATACAATAAATAACAAGTTATATAATTACTGTCATATGGTTTTATTATTCAGACTGGCACTCCTCTTCACCTTTCTTGTCAGGGTTGTTTTTTGTGTGACCCTTCTCCTCAGGTAAGGCGGTCGCTACCCAGGCAGGAATACTTAGTTGTTTTTTGTGTGACCCTTCTCCTCAGGTAAGGTGGTCGTTACCCTGGCGGGAATACTTAGTTGTTTTTTGTGTGACCCTTCTCCTCAGGTAAGG